GAAAACTGGAAATTGTAATGAAAATGAAAGCAGCAACAACTAATACCAGCTTGTCACAAACGTAAAATTGAATTTTAATTAAAGCATAAAAGCAGGGGTGGCGGGACTGTGCGTGTATGTGTGCGTAAATACACATGGATGTGTGTRTGTCTGTAACAAAAAAGCAGCTAGCGCTTCTGGCTTCTTCATAAGCGTCAAAATTTCGCCACCCAATGGCTTTGAAGTATGAAGAAAAGCACCTGCGACGCCTGAAGGTATGCTACAGCTGACAGCACACCTTGCTTCAAACGCCTTARCTGCTAACAATTTTGCACTGTAATAATTTTACAAATAAATACTGTGTTCTATTTCGCCCTTTATAACGGTTGTTATGTCAAATTTATATCATAAATTAATTAATTTATGTAATTTTYTAGAAATATTCAAAGTTGCAAGTGAAAGTTACGGGCATTTGCTTTTTCATTTTCCACTTGCTTCTTCGTTTCATTTCATTTTATTATATATTTTTCTCTTTTGCCTCTTACCTGTGCGCATCCACATTGACACTGTAACTGCAGAGCAGCGATCCATCCAGGTAACTGTCATATCGTCCGCCATCACCTTCATTCACCGATATAATCACCAAGCCACCCTCTGAGGTTTCAATGTACTTGGCGGGACTGTAGTTTATTTCGTAGCTGCAAATAAATAGCATAGAAAGTTTTCGTACAATTTTTACCAAATATTGACATTTATGGGTATAACCTGAACTTTTATTAGTTTCGTACATTTGTGCGAAAGTTCTGTCAACAAGAAAAATGTAGCTTACAAAAGTTTACAATAAGCATATGCTTCGTTTGTAGCTATAATGTAAAGCATTCGCTAGTCAACTATTACTTCCACAATAAAATATTTTGATGTGAGTATTAGAAATTTTTTCGGGTACAACCTGGAAGATTTAAAAATCCGAAAAAATATCTGTAGTTTTTACTAGATTTCAAAAATATAGAATATTGTTTATTGGTTCAGCCGTTTTAGTTTTTCCTAAAAATAATTTTTTATACCCTGAACAGGGTTAAGTTTGCCACGAAGTGTGTAACCAGAAGAAAGCGTCGGAGACCCTATAAAGTATATATATATATGATCAGTATGTTGAGCTGAGTCGATTTAGCCATGTCCATCTATCTGTCTGTCCGTCCGTCTGTCTGTATATGTACGAACTGGTCTCTCAGTTTTAAAGAAGTCGTTTTGAAATTTTGAAATTTGCAAACGTCATTTTCTCTTTAAGAAGCTGCTCATTTGTCGGAACTGCCGACATCTGTCTGTAGGTTTATATACGAACTAGCCCCTCAGTTTTTAAGATATCGTTTTGAAATTTTGCAACTGTCATACTTGCATGCGAAACTTCCTCATTTGACGATATATCTTCACGAAATTTGGTATAAGTTATTGTTCATAGAAATAATGTAATATCAGAAGAAATTTTTCAGATCGGCTCACTATAGCATATAGCTGCGATACATACCAAACGATCGGAATCAAGGGCTTGTATGGAAAACTTTCGCATTTGACTTAAGCAGTTTTAGCAAGCTGATRAAAAAATAATAATTTGGAGGGGTTTCCAACTGATCCCAAAATCGCACTTGGACTACTATAAGCAGTCATTTGGGAAACCACATAAAAAGAACCAATCTTATATGTCAGCAAAGCGCCAATACCAATACAAGTTTGCTCAGATTTTCTCAGAATTCTACTTCAACCAGTTCGTCCTAAAGCGATTAATCCTGGATTTCGCAAAGGYGMCACAATCAGAAGAAGCAAATATTGTGATGTTTCTGTCCTATGTTCTTCTATACAACTTCTGCAGCTGGCGTCCGGTAAGATTCTCTAAATCCTTTCGGCATGTACGCTGATAGCGCAGTGGCCCTGTCTCTTATACACATCTAGATGTGTATAAGAGACAGGCTACAGAATGTACGCCGATATGGTAACAGCCTGTTAAAATCCCCATAACTAGGGAGTGCCTAGTTTTACTTAAGTCAAAGGGCTCACTAGATACAATATCATGTTRTGAAAGCTTATGAACTGACAATAGCTCAGCGCACGCTAAGCTCCTGCGAASCCCAGCTATCGAGTTATAGAACACACGAGAAGAGGGAAGCACCAATCAATTTAGAAACCCAGATTCTCTGAGACTGATAGCAACTTTAACTGCCATACACATATCTCCAATATTGATTGGCACTATACGCAAATGCAAAATGGAAGAAAGTGTTATGGCTCCAATGGACTCGTTGAACGCTTTCTAGCTGCTTCATGCAAGTGCGGTATTTCCATCCACCACCACACAAAGACTTCATAGAACATAATGGATTTGACTATGTTGTCATTGAGCCATATGAGTACTTTCAGTGAGAAGCCCCACCTTTTGCCAATGGCTCATCTGTAGCAGCTAAAAAGCAATCAATGAGATCTTTGCTCTCTACTCGATACTAAGCTTCCTCTCCAAAACGAGCCGTAACTACTTCACTGCATTGGCAGTCAAGCAAAAAATTTCCGTGGCAAACATGGTTGAGTGTTGTTGCCAACTGGAAAAGTGACTTCCTTACCTATATAAAGCATGTGTAAGAAAACCTTATTTTCAGTATTTAATAATATTTTCAGAAATTTCTTARGTATGCWACACTTTTTGCTCWGWWTCYTTTCYGTTACAATYATGAGCTTATATCGTACTAGAGAGSCTTCACTGTATGTTGTTTGGACTGATTTTCAGTTCCCTGTATTTTTGAAAAATCGCCTTAAAAAAGAAATTGCAAATATTCTATTACTATTTATCCTCTAAATCCAGCAGCCTTACTATTTTTTAAGAAATACTCAAAAAAAAATTATTCCACCATTAAAAGAAAGCGCTTTTCGGCACAGAGGCACTCTTAACTCGCCGCTGTCGACAACATTCTCAGACATACTTTCCAATTTCAGTCATCGAAATCAGTTTTTACTTTTGTTAAGCGCTGTGCATCAAATCTGATTTTGTCTGCAAATTTTAGCTAAGTTGTGTCAACAAACTTCAAGCGTCTGCTCAAGCGTGCACTCTRTGCATTGGAATGCRTTCAACTCTACTTCCGCGCAACACRCACAATAAATTTACGCAGTCGAACAGACCGAARACACACAAATGAAATAAAAGTTGTAAGCACACCAAGGCAAAAGAGAAAAATTCAATGGAAAAATTGAAAACTTTGCGCTGCTTCGATGAAACCCCACGTGCTGGCTGACAATGCTTTTACAAATGCCAATGTGATGGCAACTAAGATAAAAAGTTTTTCCATSAAATGAAACTATAACCTTAAAATATATAGCCAAGAACGTCTTTGAAATGCCCCCCGCTACGTGCAAGAGGCTAATACAAATTCGACAGCAATCATTGAGAGGTGAGGAGTGCGTGCCTGGTCGGCGCGTAAACCGCATAAAAATGCTTTTTCGCTTTGTGCGACGTTTCGGAAATCGGAAAATGCGTCTAGCCAGCGACTTTTGCTCGCATACACATACAGTAAATACGCCAAAAAGCAGACTTCAGCAACTTGAAGTGTCAATTTACCGCTGCGTAGACAGCAGTTGTGGGGTAATTTTTTGCTATTTATTTCTACATTCGTCGGTTGGTTACCCACACCATTTGTGTGCCAACATTTAGAGGCTATTGACTGACTTTCGCTTGGCACTGTGTGTTGACTGTGTGTTGACAGCGCTTCTATTGCCGTTTATACTCTTGATTCGCACTTGAAATCTATACTTCTCTAGCACCCATCAAGAAGTTAAAATATCGCACATTTCCGCGGTGGCTGACATGATATGMAATGAAGTTTTCTCTTTGATGGCAACAAATTTTTGCAGCGCGCCCAAAACGTAGCTACAACATTACAATTGCATTGCAGTGTTTATACTTAACGCCTTCTTCCACTTTGATATACACAGCAGCGCTTTGTCTTTGTTACACAACTGTCGTCTCAGAGGACCCATAACACAAAAGTCATTTGAAGCATTTTTTTTTTTTTTTTTGTTTTTCTTGGTTAACTCAGAAATAAATTGTATAATGTATATTCATGTTGCATACTTTATGGCGTGCAGGCAAATAAACAGGTGGCCCCCACGCCAGCGACCTCGCACCCTTAATAGCAGCCAACTTTTTTTTTATTGATAAACTCAATTTAAAATCGTCGAGTAAAAGTACGAGGGTTGCAACAGTGTATTAGTGCGTTTGCTGGAAGGGGTGTAAGTGCGCAACTGTAACCATTTCAAAGTATATTTGWGTGTATRTGTGTGTGTATGTTTAGCAACATTTCATGAGAATATTAAAAAATTTCTTAACAGTTGCTGCGTTTATTAAAAAGTTATGAATGCGCAGAAATTTTCGAGAAAGCACACTTTTTCATTGCATATTTTTAGGGTGACRATCTGTATCACTTTTATAGCGCAAACAACGCGGGGAACGCGYAGCTCTGGTGTCAATTACAAACTACGCCCTTTATGCATTTTTAATAGCATCAACGGCTGTTCGAGCTGAAAATTATTATTATTTAACAGCTTGGCATTGCCGCGCGAGTTTTCGATAAGGCGTTGGGGAAGATTGTGTATGAAAAATACTGTGCATTTGGAACGCATAACAAAGAGAAAAGTTTTGAAGTTTTTAAATGTTGATAAAGTACAACTAAGTTTACAAGCAGAGCGAACGAGGCCAGTTTGGAGCCCTTATATCTAAGCAACTACTTTATGGACAAAGATTTACGCAAGCTTGTGCATAGGTTTCTACACGAAAGCTATTTAACTGAATGGAACAGCTATCAACATCACTATAAATGGCACCACCCTACAGGAATTAGACCATCGCTCTCGTCAAATATGTTTTGTCAAAGCATAATAAGATTCACACGTCTACGGATTGGTCACACGTTAGCTACTCATGCACACCTATTAAAAGGATCAGTGAAGCCTTACTGTCCTTTTTGTGGTGCAAATGACCTATATACAACACATTTTCTCGATAGCTGTCAGGAACTGTCTATACAGAAAATTTCTGATTAGTCTACTTTACAGGGTGACGTAGTCTGCAGACTTTTGGAAACTAGTAATCGCCTCATGCRTTCGAGGCAGACATATCGAGSCAGTATATTTTATAATCTCCAGGGAAGAAACTAACATTGTTGGGACTCATAATAATTTGCTTCCAGAAAGCAAATTCACTTTCAATGTCAATCCTACAAGGTGCGTTCCAAAGTACACAGGACTTTTTGAATCTAATGCCTGCTGGTGGTGCCATCCACTGATGCGTTAGAATCTGCTATCTTTATCGATTTTTCGTCGAATTGCATCTCCAAAACATCGATTTATCGAATTTTGACCGAACATATGGGCTTATGAAAGGTGTGTGAACGGTTTGTTCCATACAAATTGACTGACGACCAAAAACTGCTCAGAATCCAACATTCGAAGGACGCTTGTGACCGATTATTCGACCAAAATTCACACTTTAACCAATAACCACTCCCTGTATTAACCTAATATGGCACCGTGCGACTTCTTTCTTTTCGGAAAAATGTATTTGGCCATGAAAGGAAAGCGTTATGCAGACTTAGGAGCTATTCAAAAGGCTTGCACCGGCATACTGGCGGCCATACCGGCCAACGAGCTAAAACAGTCGTCCGACGTGCTTTTGGGCATTGTACAGAGCTATATTGAAACAGAGAGAGACTTTTTTTGAATAAAATAAATTGGTGTAGCCGAAATGTTTTTTTGTTAAGTTCTGTTTACTTTGGACCCACTTTGTAGTTGCAGTGTATTTTAGTATTTCCGAAAGCAGACCTACTAAAATAATTCTGCTTACAAACTCACATCCACTTAAAGATATAATTATTTCGAATATTTTTTTCTACATCTGCTACTTTCAACAACATTGGTATGATCGTTCATTCAAAATTTGAGTTTATATAACCAAAAAGGATAAGCCGAGGAAGGTCATAACCAAGTTGTCAAAGTTGTATGGACGAAAGTGTGATCGAAACATTAAATTACTTTCTTCTGCATTGTGTCTTCGCATTACTCAATTGGAGTTTACAGAATCATAAAGGCTAAACCAAAGAGACCGCAACCAAGTTGTCAAATTTGCATGGAGGACATGTCCACCTAGTCCAGGCACATTATGAAGATTGAGGTTGAAGGASAAGCCATACTCGAAGCTTACATTAGCCGTCTTAACAAGTTTGTGAAGGGCTCAAAACGCTTTGCCGAYTTGTGTCGAYCTCATGRCTAATTATATAGGAGGTTTAKGTACCATAACTGAGATCTCTATTAGAATCGGCTACTTATCCTAACCTAACGTAAACAAGAATGTCCCCAATTTTAGTCCAGCAATAATTTTTTTTATTTCTACAACATCAGCAATACTTTTTTGAAGGTAATCACTCGAAGCCAATCAGAAAACTTCGACGCTCTGGCCGCATAGATGATGAGAGCATGATTAAAAAGTTATAAGATAGCAAAAATTACGAAAATCGATTGCTGAATATGAATGGTATAGAATCAATGATAGAAACGAAAATGTACTTGACAACTTAAGTTAGAATTTAAACTATTATATTTAAAAATAAATTTAAAGGAAACGTTTATTTTATAGAGGTGTGTGAAGTGCTGGGATAGTCGCTTCAACACATGTATACTTAAGATRAAGACTTCTTCAAAACTATATATATATTTTTTTGTTTGAGGTTATGAGGAATTTTTATTCATATGGATTATTTTTTATTATATGTCCCGATATTTATATTCAAATGTTAGAGCTTCTTGTTCTATGTTTTGAAAATTTGAAGTTATGTATTGATAGGTAGGTAGAGTGGCTACCTTATGACGCTCCAAAGCCTTAGAAGGCTCATTGTGATACCACCGGTGCTAAAGTCCACTCACTCATTTGGTTACTCGCTGAAGTAGTGCTTCTGCTGAAGTTCATCAATACGAAAAATTTAAGCTGTGCAACCTCGTTAAGAAGCCCTCACCGATCATTGTTTTAAGGCGTTCCTACTTTACTGGCATGTTTGAAAATTATTATTATTTATTTATTACCTTATTTTTAAAAGTCAATATTCAACATTTCCAGTCCTTGTTCCATTTATGTCACGTTTGCCTGTTTATTGAGCAAGTCAGGGATTGGTTTGCACTGCGACCTATGGTATATTGTGCCCTTTCCTATATCACTAATGGTCACAAAGGTGCAGCATTTTGAACAAGTCCAGGAGCTGCTGGGCGCAACTGAGGTGATGTGATCACTGTCCACGTAGATCGCACCTAGGGCCTTGAGCCGGCTTCAACAAAGAACAACGAGATTATGCCTTTGTTGGACAAGTGCTTCCTGAGTCTGCAGTGCTCTGTATAGAGCGCAACAAGAATGCGGAATTTGTCGCGAACAAATTTTTCCGGAATCTAATTGCCCTGTCTCTTATACACATCTAGATGTGTATAAGAGACAGATCTAATTGACTATTCTTGCTAGCCAATTTGCCCACAGTTCGTTTTTACATTATTATGTCCTATGACCCTTTGCAGTTTTGAAGTTATGTCTAAACTTTGTCGACTTTCTTAGAAAAACATTCAAAASAATAATTCTTTAAACAATTTTTTTCTGCATTATATTAACCCTTAAAATTTARTTTCTCACTTAAGTGTTAGCTTAAACTATCTTTATCATTCGCCCTACTCCATTTACCACACCTTAAATACTAGAAACTGCCATGTACTTACCGTCCTCGTTCCGTTGAGTGGTGATACCAGCGTACCGACTTCTGCCTYAGCACCTCGGGGATTTTGACGAAACACGACAGATGCAATGTCTGGCCGTAGGATGCGGTGATGCGTTTTTTCAAAACGCTTGTGTCACAAATACCGGAAGTCTCATTGGCAACATCCTGCGGCAGGCAAATGCAAACACGCCCGAGAGAAGGAAAAAGAAGAAAGAAGAAAAAAAGCAGTCAGAAAGATAAAATTAATGTTATTGTACTGCAAATGCTGAAAAAATTGTGTTTCCACCCAAAAAAGTGGGGACGCGCTGGCAGATAATGAAAATGTAAAACCGAAATGTTGATTGAATGAAAGCATGCAAAAGTGTAAAAGTGTCAAGTGAAATGTTGATTTAGGCATTGAATGGCATATTTGCCTTGACACCAACAGCAGCAGCAGCCACATTCAAGCAATTTTTTTTATTTAATTTTTTTCGCTTTTTTTCATTTTGTTTATTTTTTGCTTTCCACTTCATTTGACTCACCTGCAGCAATCCCAGCTGATATGGCTTACAGGTGCTGGCGTCCTTGTCCCAGCCACAGTACGGATCGGCCACACAGCGGAAACACGAGTCGTAGCGGCGGGCGCACATCGCCAAATCGATTTGCTTTACACTGTGCTCCAGCGCCAAGTACAGCGAGCCCGTCTTCTGACTCAAACCCATTTCGCGTATCGGCTCATTGTCGGCCACCTGCAGCACGTCGAGCAGGTTCGAGAAGCGCTGACCGTAGCGTATGAATTGAACGATTTTGTAAATGAGTCCGGTGCTGGTGCCAACGAAGTATACGAGATACTCTTGATTTAGTTTATCGATACGAATTCTGTGTGCGAGCGTTRTAAGAAGAAAAAAAGTAAGAGAGACGTGAGAAATTTATTGAACTGTGTACGCTCTGGTGATAAAATGAACTATTGAAGGTTGTAATGACATTTTCGGTGTCACTGCTTTTTTTTTCATTTTTCTGTTGTTTGACTATGCTGTTGCCGTTTTTTTTTTATTTTGGTTGTTGCTTTTGCTGTTGTAGYTATTTTGGTGCTCTTGGTGCTAGTTTTAACACCACTCTGCATTTTGGCGCATAATGAAATATTTTACGCAAATTGTTTCTATGCAGTGACGATAAATTTTTGGCTTTGACCCAGTTACAGCGGAAAAAYTCAAGCTAAATTATTTTTGCTGCAGTACTTTAACTTCATTATATGACTTGATTAAAACCCTGAAGTACTCGCTAGGAAGGACTAACGAGTAAGACAATTATGACTCTTATGTTTTAATATGTGGCTAACAAGGGTGAGTTTTTTTTGTAAAAAAAAATATTTTTTAGAAAAAATTGAGGAGAACTAATAAAACGACTTATATTTTGGTTTTGTGGCACTTGATATTTTAACAAATTTTCGCGCTTATAATAACTGTGGCTTATGAAGAGGACARTCTAATTTTTGGTTCGGTTTCCAAAAGGGAAATTTATCGGGCTATAAAGCTGAAAAGCAATCAAACTGYTCTGTCTGTTTAGCACTTAGACGATTAGATGAGTAAAATCATTTAAAAATAGCGGATGAGTTTTAAAAAATAATTTCTGCGAATTTTATTCTTTGAAAATAACTTAAAACAAAAAAAAATACTTTGCATACGTTAAATGTCAAAAACATGTGTTCATTATGACAGCTGGTATGACAGTAAACCCTCTAGGAGATTCCATATCTCTGAAAAAATTATCTCTTAACTAATTGACTCTTTGCTCGGTTCCACTGAAGCTAGTATACCCTTCAGAAATAAAAAACAAATTGCATACAACAACAACATACAACTTTTGATCAGCGAATTTGTGTGGCAGCTATATGATAACGTAGTCCATTAAAAAATTTTGAGGAATGTGGTGATGCTTTAGCAAATTACGTCCCACTTGTTTAACAATCAGTAAGGTTTGACATTTCATCATGAAAATACATGATTCAACAATGATACCAAGTTATTAAAATTTAATACCGAAATGCGAAGTCAATAACCTCAACTTTAAGACCGCTACATGCAACTTATAATCATCATAATCGTGCTGCCAGATCAAAAAATGAGCACCTAGTGGAAAAAAGGTACAGTACAAATGTTCCCGCCGCCAGCGCGTTGGGCATCTCTGCAAAGTGTTTGTGGCGAATTTTGCGAAAAGACCATGGCCTACATCTTTACAAGATCAATAACTGAAGCCGCTTGGCAATACAGTTGAGCAACAAAAAAAAATTATAAGGAGTTTCATCGAAAAATCATTTTCAGCGATGAAACTCATTTYTGGCGGAATGTCTTTATCAATAAGCAAGATATGCGTTACTGATTAGGCAGCAACCCACACGTACTCCATGAGTCACCATAGCATTACAAAAAAAGTACGATTTATGGGCCGGTGGCGTCATTGGGCTGTACTTCTGCCGTGATGATGAAGACAACCGAATACTTTTTACCCAAATTAGATGATATGGGCTGGAACAATATGCGACGACATTATGTCCTACAGGACGACACCACAGCTACTCAGCGAATGTTTGGTGAATGTATTATCTCACGAAATGGCAAAGTCAATTGGCCACCTCAGCCGTTAGACAATTTCTATGGTCTATGCCAATAAGCAAGCGACGACTGACGAATTTCGTACGAATATCGAATATGAAATTACAGCAATATCGGCTGTTTTAAACTTGAAACCCATCGAAATTTGAGTTCAGCGTCYGGACTATTGGTGGCCGTGCAAAAATAATCGAGTTCCATACAAAATGGCTTCGAATGTGTATACTTTCACGGGAATGTTTTATTTGATTTTCTTATTTTGTAAYGCTCTTATCAAAAAACCCGTTATGATAATTTTGTTGCAATTATCAATATTCAGTAATGTATGTTACGTACTTCACAAGCGGTGCTTTACAAGGAGCTTTCATCATTTYTTTAAAGATTAAACTTCAATTATCCCAGAACTATCCGATAATACTCCTCATTCACTCACTTCTAAAATGTATTTTATTTTATTTTATTTTCTTCTCAACACTTTGCTAAACTGACAACAACTACTACACAATTCCAATGTACAGCAAGTATTATTGCCAGCTTACGAGACAGCGGAGAACCGCACAGAAAAAGTTGACAGCATTAATACTGGCWGAATTTAGCGCATAAAAAGTAAAATAAAACCACAAAGAGAATATAAATGGCGGTAAAAAACAACTACAAGCATTAGCGCACACATTAACAGCTTTTTAAACAATTTTTGGCAGCATCAGCGCCAATGTACTAACTCCTTTACTTTGCTSATACGCCATGGCGCGTGGCGAACGAAAGACTGCAGTGAGATTATGCGCTTGCATTTGCCGACTACAAAGCTGCTTTAAGCAGTTCTCTGCGCACCCTCGATACACAATTTACACTTTTGAACACTCACCTATATATACATATATACTACATACAAATATATATACAACATATATATATATATATGCATATATTTACTTATGTGTATGTGCTTGCTTTATTTGTTTTAAATTTCGAGTTTTTGCTAAATATTTGCACTTACTTATCCACCACCAGTTTGGTGAGTATGATATCCCGTTTGTAGAAGACCGGATTGCCGAACTCATGATCGACCGCCTTGTCCATTAGCGGATGTTTGCGTATGAAATTCAACACCGAATCTGGCAGCGCTGCCGTATCGTTGATGCATGTGCCYGGTCGTGGTTCCGGCACTTTGGAGTTCAGCACTGGCAGCCAGGCAGAGTTGGAGGTGGCTTGCTCCTTGAATTTGCCTGTGAAAAAATAAGCGAATAATTTTAATTGATTAAAAATGTTTGTTTGTAGAATATAAAGTTTTTTTTTCTTATCTTTCTTAATTCATATGTAGYAGTGAGAGTGAGATAACGCTTCTAAATGCATTATAGAAATTTAAAAAAAAAAAATAAAAAAAGGTTATTTAATGATTTAGTAAATAAATTACACCGGTTTAGTGTTAATACTTAARTCGAGAGAAAATAAATGATTTTTTTCATTTTAGCTCTAATTTTTTATTGAAGCCTCCTATTCATTACTCAGTTTTTTCTGTTATCCGCTCTCGTAAATAATGAGTTTTCAATTAATTAATTAAGTTCTGTAAAATKTTATTTTATTGCTCTGCTTGCAGACCAACAAAACTTTCTGCCAAAGTTGCAAATTCTTTAAAAATAAAAAATAAATGCAAGCAAAAGCATTCAGCGCTCTTTTCTGGACTTTTTMCACATTTTTTATACTCATTTTTTTTGCTTCTGTATTGAAAGTAATAAAGATATAATTTTTTGTGCTTTGGGTTTATGGGTTTAGTGAACCCGCACATAATARTTTCAACAAATTTCTTCATAGTATTTTTTAATTTTTTAGTGTGAAAGCGTTTAATCATTTTTTGCATAAAAAAAAAAAAAATTTGTTTAGTATATCTCAAATTTCGATACTGAAAATTTTGTAGATATATGCGTATATAATATAAAAGTATATGATGGTCAATAGAAAACCCAATTTAAATTTTTTTTGTGGCTTGCATTTTAAGTGATGTTACGTAATTATAGTATTTCGTCTAAATCTTTTTTTTCTTCGCGGACACCTGAAATTTTTTTTTTWTKTTKAATAAAAAAAGTTCCTGACTACGTCTAGGTCGGTCATCAACATCAAMTCATTATATCGACACGTCAATAAAACAGAGTTGACGATTACAMAGTSAGAGATCTYACTGGCAGCCTTGAAAAGAAAAGTGCTGGTTCCAGAATAACTCAAATTTTCGAAAAACAGCGCACCAGGATGTCATGAAACCCGGCCACAGCCGAATATCGTGGTAGAAGTGAGTCRAACCAACATCAAAGCAGTTCAAAAATTTAGATTATGCTGCCAGGTTTCTTTTAGTATCGAGGTGTGGTGCATTGCGGATTTTTTTCGTCAGGTTAAACTTTCTACAAGCATACTATTTGAGTGTTGTGCGTGTTTTGCGCGAACTATTCCAAAAAATAGACCAGAATCATGGGGCGACGACTCTTGCTTTTTGCACCACGATTATGCACCGTTGTATAATGCATAGATCTTTCGTAAATTTTTCGCCAAATTTTCTTCCAATATCGTTCAATCACACCCCTCTCCTTCCTTTTCTCGAACTCAGATCGCCAATAAATTATTTTGCTTTAATTTTTGTTATTTTTTTCGTGACCAATGGGTTTCATCAAACTTTGCTTTTTTCTTTATTTCCAAAATTTTCCTCTGGTCTGCAAATCCTCTTTGTACTCGGGATAAAACTGTACTCTGTCAAATAGGTTAGCTATATATGAGGGCTTTGGTAGAGGCGACTATACCAGAAAAATCCTTCTTAGTTCTCGCGTGGTTAATTCAATGCATAATTTTGCTTTCTGTACTTRTACCTGTGTAAATCGTTTATTCGAACAAAATTGAAATATTTGGGTCAAGCCCATCTTGCGGKGTTCAGTAAATATGACTATAAAGCCGAGGTGCTTCACAAACAGGTCCAACTTAAATTATTATTTTGCTTGCTTATAATCAGCATTAAATAATGTAGTAATTCTAAAAGCTAGTGAGTACTGTTGGAGGTCTAGAGGCATATTTTCATTAGAAGATTTCTGGACAATGGTCAGTCAGGTAAACGAGACCTGTAAGGATATTTTTTCATTACTTATTCTTAGTTATAACTTCTTTCTCTTATTATAATAAACAACAATTGTTGTACTTAAAAAAAAATACATATAGTATATGTGCCAGAAAATTGAAAGAAACCCGTTTTYTCCACTATGAAGTAAATCAAAACAGGGCCCATATAAATGCTCTGAAGTCTTCCGACTGCACCGTCAACACCATATAGAAATTGCAATGTTGTCAAGAATTAGAAAACAAAACAACAGCAGCAAAGTGCATGCATGTAACTAAAAGTAACGGAAACGGAAATGATTCCCGCAAAGTGTGTGCAAAAAATTAATGTGTTATGCATTGAAGCATGCAGTGGCGCGAAGCCACGCAAATGTGGCAAGTGGTACGTGGTTTTGCCGCCATTACAAAATGCTATAACACAAAAGTGTTGACACCGACAACAAGAAATGAGAAATGCGCAAGGAAATATAGCGGAAGTTGTAAGATTTGAAAAATCAGCAGCCAGCCATTTACACGGGGGAGCAGCACACAGGCAGCGTACTAACGGTACTTGCATTTTTCTCGGTATGCCTCTGAAGCGAAAATATATGCAAAGGTGTCTTGATTTCGCGCTCTGCCTGGCGACGAATGAGTTTGAAGGCAAGCGGAAGGAAATACGCACAGAAAAATGCACATTGGCAACAAACGTGCATGCTGTTGTTGTTGCCACACATGTGTTGTTCTAACTTTGACTTTGTTGCTGCTATGCTGTTGCTGTATATATTTTGTTGTTGTTATTTAGTATTTTTGCTTTCTCTTTTGCTCCCATCAAARCACATGGAAAAATGCAGTTTGGCGCAAGTATGCTAACCTGCTGCCGCCGCATGTTGTAATCCCCTTGCCACCAGAAGTACCTGAGCGCAGGAAATGGCTTTCGGTTTGGCGTTTCTGTCACGCACATTAAGTCACGTGAATGGCAATGCTCAGTGAATATGAAAAATGATGGTATGCAACGTGTGCAGGAAAACGAAAACAACAACTACTAAAATGTGTGCAACAAAATTGCAAAAACAACAAACGTGTGTGCAACAAAATTGTAACAACAAAAGCATACGTATGTATACAAAAAAAATTATAACAACAACAAACACATTTATAAAAAAATGCAGCAACAACAAAAACATTTGAAAAACGATTGCAAGAAAAATATGCAACAAAATAATAACAACAACTAAATGCGCACCAAAAAAGCAACAACAAAGTGCTCAACAAAATAACAACAACATCAGCRAATGAAAAAAATCRACAACAACAACAATAAAAACGTGTTCAATAAAATAACAACAACATCAACGAACGCAAAAAATTCACAATAAAAAAAATTTGCACAACAACAATAAAAATATGTTCAATAAAATAACAACAAAAACTGCAATATGCCCAACAAGATGACAACAATAAAATAACAACAAACGCAACAATATGCGCAACAAAATAACAATAATAAAACCACTAGCAATAATAACAATAACAACAATGCCCGGCGCGTAACGAGTTTTACGCTATGCGCTTCAACGGTGACAATGTCAGCGCTTTTTGCACGCTATTTACCGTTAGCGATTGCAAGCAACAAAATATTTGGCGCACGTCATAAAAAGACACCACTACACACTAGAAAAACCGACAGATAGTGAACATCAAAAATATGCAAACAAGGTGTTCATATAAATAACACAACTACAGATAGACTTGTGTCGGTGTAGTGCGCTGGTATGTGTGCGCAAAAAAAAATACGTTCAAATAAACCCTTTCACATCATATAAATTCGGTGCAAACAACACCAAAACAAATGGTAAATAAGAAAAAGTGCAACGCTTTTGCCAAGTAAAGCATTTGGAAAATCTCGTTTGCGTTTAAAATRTTTAAATTGGCAGTAAAACAAGCCACAAACCGCAATGCAGCACTTTTTCCGGCCAACTTCGCCACTGTTTCGGGTGTGAATGGCCGCTGCGTTGTGTTGTTGCTTATTTGGCGCTAATGTACATATGTAAATGTGTGTTTGATTGTGGCATGTATAAAAAGTGCTTGCAACTGCCCTACTTTACCGTTAGGTTGCAGTTATAAGATAATAAYTTTCGTGCATGCATTTTTCTGTGCACATTTTTGCTGCTCCGTGGCAAATATGCAAAATGGAAATATGCATTTTGCATCGACTCTCTAGAATGCGAGAAATTGGCTATTTGCTGGAATATTTCTTCGCAGCTATTTACATTTCGATTGCAAATAAGAGCGATTTTGTCGCAGCAGCATATAGATTTGCTTACCAAATGAGCGAACGATAAATTCGTATCTATGCATTCATATTTATATATATATATATGTATATCCTTACAAACTGGTATATGTATGTTRTTGTAGCGCTATTTACCTGCAATTTGTAAATTCCAATAACGGAAATATTTTTCACSAAAAATAGTTTTAGTTAATTAAAAATACCCAAAGGGTTGCTTATTTTGGGCCTGTTGACTACCAATATGCAATATTTTGCAGCCGATCGAGTCATTTTTTGATTGGATTTTTGTTGAATTACATTTTGGAAGTTAAAAGATAAATAAATAATTACATATGACGATAACAGCATTCATTTTAATGAAAAGTCTTCAGCGGAAAGTAGAAATATTTTCAGCTATAAGCATTAAGGAGATGGATAGATTGAACAGGAAAAGCTATGAACATAGCAATATGCTGAACCAACTCAAAACAAATAATAAGTCAAACTATAAAAGGTTGGGTTTCAACAGTTGTTTAAAAGGGRGAAGATCCCGTAGACTAGTAGGGTAGGAGGATCAGATCTTAATATATACCAACGGTTGCAAAATAGGCATAGGAATAGAGGCGAGGGTATACTTCGTGGCTCTTGAATTACCAGATAAAGAGGAGAGGTAAAGAGAAGCACTGTGGAGTTCTACTAAATAACTACGGTAAGATAAATAAATCTACATCCACAGAAAGTTAAGCGACATTGCTAGCCTTGTCATCACCAAAGATTAATTTGAGCATTGTCAACAAATTTAAAGGCTGTAAAGTCATTGGCTGCTCAAGTCCACATATTCAGCAAGCAAGAAAAAGTATACGAGTTAGCCAATTCACCAACYTGTCTAGACGAATGCTCGGTAGAATCGATCAATAGGCAGCTCAATGCGCAATTCAAACAAATAGTTTTGAGATATTTTAATGGAAATCCATAACAAACTGGGATATAGTCAGATATAACAAAAACATGACAAAACTACAATTAAGTCTAATTAAACAGGTTCAGCAAAAGTTTGTATAAACTTACAGCTACCATGACCGAACATTTGTCATTTAAAGAAGAAGAGTTAAAATCTGGAATGTCCCATAAAAATATATATATTTTTTTTTTTTTTTGTTTTTGTTTTTTTTTTTTGCAGCTGCAAACTCAAGGCAGGTAAGGAAACTTCTTCTGTGAGTGGCCAGCTTTATAATCAGGAACCAAACCTTTAATGTGTATTAATAAAACCATAACGAGGATAAGTAGTTTTTTTGGGGGTTCGAAATAATGTGAACACATCCACGAAACGAGGTAGCAAAATTTAAAGGTTTTACGAATAGTTTATGAAAATGGCGCATCTAGCGCTAATTGAGTGGGAAGAGGCTGCACTTCCACGTATCTACCTGAGTACAACACATCGCAACTAACTAATCACCACTRATTCGAATGCGAAATTTTCAGCTCTCTATACAATTGTTGACAGAGGGCAAATTGCACAAGTCGTTGATAGTATTCCGGAATTATCTGGAATCGATTCCGGATACACAACACTTTTTTAGGAATTGTGTTTACTTTTTGTGTTAAAAACGTGCYGCTATCGTTTCTTGTAAATTTTCTAATCCTTTTCTCTTTTTTGCCCTTAACTCTGTTCTTGATTGAAATATTATTTATCAATGAACCAGTTGTTTTAGAGTTTCAATCATTATCGATTATATTACTTAGTTAATTCGATAGCATATCCATTATCTTTTAAGATCAACAGATAAGGGGAGGGGAACTCATGGAATGGTCGTTCTTAATCAAATTTCGGTCACTTGCTCGGAATATGTGGGCGTCGCTAAAGAGAATCGAAATAAGTTGCATATGTACATGTGACAACGTGTACCGGTTTGATTCAAAATTAAATATGCCGCARAGACAAGTGATTTACAACATCCCATCCTTTAAATTGTTTCAAACTGCACTACAAGTTACAACAAGATTTTGTGTTGATAAAATTCATTGCATTTCAAAAAGGCAGCAAACAAATTTGTTCAATGCATATATGATGGTAACATGAAATTCTATCGACATTCTCAGTATGCTAGAAATTTATACCAAAAAAACCAATAGTAATAGTATCTCAATACTAAAACAGCCACTAATTTTATTAAACATATTTTATAGAAGAAATTTGAAATAATAAATATTTTCTTAACAAAACAACTCAAACTTACRTATATTATGTTGTAGAATTAGATTAAACAGTATTAAAAATTAAATTAGAGCTTTATTTCATTTCATTTTTCCTTTTTAAATAATTTTTTATCTATGATATGTTAAAGAAATGCCAACAAAAATACAAAAAATTCACTTTTTTGTTATTTTACTCCATAACTCTAATCATTTTGTCTGTTCTTCATATATTTTGTTCAGATRACGTTTATCATAATATGAATAAGAAAAATGATAAACGTTCTCTGCATCATATTTACGTGCTTTATAAAAGCGCTCTTTGATATTCATTTACACCTTTTTTCTAATTAGAACTTATCTAAATCTTATTATTATCCCTATCGCCTTCTGCTGCATACTTTTAGTTGCAAAAATGAACGAAAGCAAAAGTAATTTTAAGCTTTCATCATCCTCCTTCCATACTCTAGCTAATCCACAATCCCTTTCCAATTTCTTCTTTCCATTTACTTCATTGGAAGTTCCGCTATTTTAGTTGCTTTCTAGCGAACGTCGCATACGGTTTATCTCTAACGTCAATCCTGTGCAGTTTGTGTTTTTATAAGTTAATTCATCATTTGAGTGTTAAATAAAGTGTAAATTAGTAAAGATGTGTGTAAAGTTGTGTTCTCTTCTRTAAATAAGTGCTTTTGTGTACAGTTTTGTGCTAAATGTTGTGAAAAATGTCAAATGAAGTCTAAAGTGCTGGTGAAGTGTAAAGTTGTGCAGACAGCAGCAGAGCTGCGCTGCCCTGCGCAAAACCAATTCGCAAATTAACGACGCAGAGAGCGAGCAGCAGTGTATCATTACTCTCGCGTGCATGTGGAAATGGAAGTGAGTAAAGAAATGGGTGAGTCAAATGATTTGAATTTTTAATTGAAAATTGTTTACAATGAAGGGTGCCTATATTTGTTTTAGTTATAAATTTGTTAAAAAAAATTAGCTGATGTAATGAATATTAGTAAATTAAAATTAAATAATAGTTAAAAATATAAAGTACATAAAAATATAATGAAAGTATACTAAAAAAAAATCACAAGAGTAAATTTATATAAAGGAATTCAAGTTAATCAACTATACATTTAGCAAATATCATGTGTTTGAGATATAGAAGTTAAATATAAATTTTAATTATATAAAATGTGCTGTGGGAAGACTGCAGGAAATTTTTTTCAGAGTAAAAGAAGTATGTTACCTCGCTCATATATATGTTATAAGCTATTGTGTGATATCTATTACTAGTTGGTGTTAATTTAATATAATTACTTATTCTAAAGCAATATCATGTGATTATTAAACGTTTTTTCCAAATATGGAAAATATATGAACTTTTTTACTATTGGTTACAAGTGGATGGTTTAAAAGCTGAGTAGTTAGGATTAGCAGAGTTATAAGATTCAAATTTTAAAAATTATTTTGTTTGTCCAATTGTCATTTCTGTAAACAAACCAACATATGATGAATTGATAGGGCGTATAATAACTTTCGAGCTATTGCTATCCTTATTAAGAGATTTATATTTTTTGAAATCGAGACATATGTAGTTTTTAGTTGCCTTTTCAATTTGCTTTCAAAAATTTTTKTTGAAATTTTATATCCACTTATGAATTTCAAATAATTAATTTTTTTATTTAGTGCATGAAATTTATACATATATGGGAATATTATTGTGGAAGCTTTTGAATTTCGCGGCTACCACTACACATTCAGTTTGATGTTCGTTAATATTCATGCCTAATTCATAAATCCCGTTTTAATCCAATAAACTAATATCGTATATAATTTTCATTTAGCTTCAAGAAAATATATCACTCCATCTATCACTTAAATTTTCAATTTTCTTTGCCGACATTTCGCGTTTGAAAATCTGCAGCTAAACTTCTCTAATGTGACGGAGTATTTTTAATTTCAATAAAAAAATATCTACACACCCATCTTAAATTTATCTGCAATACCGTTTTAATTCGCTTAGGAATCCTATCAATTCTCCTAATGCAATTTTAGCCAGATATATGTATATGTATGTACATACGTAAGTATATATGGCACCAAATTTTCTCGTGTGTGTATATATGTACATATGCCATAATATTGGCAGTCAGAGGGCTTTATATAGCCATATATGCCTTCTTACCTCCAAATCAAGCAAGCAAAAATACATTTMTTACATACATACCTACATATATGTACAAGCATACGCTTGAGCGCACAGCTCGCCGACGCWATCAATTCAAGCGCACTGGAAAGGCAAGAATAATTGCCGGTGCAATAAATCTAAGCGTACACGGAAAAAATATTAAAAAGAAAACAAAAACGAAATTGCAAATAAAAAACTTCACGGATACGAGCATGAGAAAAACGAAAGATTGCTGCCGGCAACAGACACCGCATTTGCGCCACTCCCACCATGCATTCGTATTATACGCTGTTTTTCTTTATTTTATTTTTTTTTTTTTTTTTGCACCACCGTTACCACCCACTCCGCTTAACTACAACGCTACTCACCTTCGAAAGCCGCATTGATGTCGCGTATGTCGTAGCTGCACACCGCCGAGCCGACAATGCCGTGTGTGTTCGTCGTGAAGGTGGCATAGAATTTGGTGTCATCGTTTGGCATTTTATAAACCGACTGTATTTCATTGAAGTAAAATGGAAATTCGCTAGAGATGCTGCAATTGATACGCGCCTTCAGATAGGTCGCCCAATTTTGACTGATCATATATTTGCCGCCGCGATCGTTCTTGCAGACACGTGCGATGCGTGAGTAGATCGCCTTGCCGCAATTGATGTACTCGACAGCGTGTTCGCGGAAAAAGAAGTACACATATTCGCCCACATCAAAGGATCCAACGAAATTTGGTTCTGTGAGAGGAGTAAGAAAGTAAGAATTGTTATGAGAGAAATTTGTAATAAGTGAAAGAAGGTCTTATTAATTTCTCAACAGTGGATTTTCTTTCATATAATTTAAAGTCATTAAAATAATTATTTTTTATATAATCCTGTTGAATGATTCAGTTCCTTAAACATATATCGCTGTATGTTATATTAACTTCTTTCCTGTTAAATTTCCGAATAAAAAGTAATTTTTCCAACCATTTTTGTAGTCAAATGATCCCAGATTTTGGACAAATACCCTAGTTTTCTCCCAATTTCATATAAAGGAATTCTTTATACGGAGAAAAATATACAAACTATAAAATATAATACTATTTTCGTGATTTTTTTTTTATTTTTTTTATTTTTTTTAAGCTAACGTGATATGTACCACGCACCACAAAATATCAAAGATGTGCTATTTGCTCGACAAAATACATTTACACTCCAGTAATATTAATTTAAGAACTAAAAACTAGTTCAAAAATGTTCTATAATACAAAAGTTGTCGTTAGTAGCATATTCAATATATAAAAATAATTGTATGAATCGTTTGAGAAGTTCGAAGTTTTGTGTCTGTGCGAATGAAATTTGAAGTTCAAAAACTTTTGTCTAAAAGTATGTACCAACAATTTGAAGCGCATATTTTAGATAAAAWTCTATAAAGATACATTTTTATTTTGGTAAGTCGTGATAATCGASACAGTTGCTAAACTGGCTGGGTCATGTCGTTCGATTGGATGAAAACTCTCCAGCTCTGAGAGTATTCGGCGTAGTCCCTGATGGGGAAAGACGGACAAGGAAATATCAAGTGGCTACACTTGGAATCTCCAATTGGCGCTGAACAGCGAAAAGGAAGAATGACTAGCATACTGCTGTAAACTCAGCTATATCCGCGTTAGCGATATCTACGTCAATAAAGGAGAAGTTGAAGATAGAGATGAGCTTCATATTCCGAGAAGACATTACTTTTAATATTGTGCATTATTACTATKGATWCTAAGGAAAGCCGAACGAGTTTTGTTTGAACTAAACATGACCTATAGTCTTTTTGAATTACCTACTTCATCTGTGTCAATATTTTAATATGAAGCAATGCAAAAAATTCATTACTTAATTCATAATCATACCTTAAAGTTTCTTAAAATCTGTACTAATACMTTCTTCAATTCTTAATCGTACCCTTCCCTTTAAGTCTTTACTATTTCCTTAAACCTTTACACCTTACCACACCGTCTTACTGCCAATGATAAGGGTTTAGTAAATTACGGCAACACCTAATGCCATCTATTCAACTATAACTTCTAACCCATTAAACAGTAAACTAAGAARCTAGAAAATAAAAACGAAACGCTAGAAAGAACGAATAAATATACATTTCCAATATATATAAAACTATATTTATACTCACTATCAAGCCATTTGGAATCATATTTCACGGTGCGTTTGAAATTGTGCTCCTTCCGACCGGATGTGAAATTATACAAATCCGAACGGAATATAACCGAATCAGCCTTGGTAAATTCAGCATTTGTGCCGGAATACTGCAAACGTAGACGAGTGGGAGCGGTAAAGGGAAGAGACGCAAGCGAGCAAGCAGAAAAAACAGGCGCATTAGTGCTAATACAATAATAGTTTAAGCAAAAAACACAAAAAATCGAATAAAATTCAAAGGAAAAAGGTTGAAAGAAAATGCATGGAATGATGTCGCCGACGATTTGGCCCATGCCGGTGTCAGGGCCAGGCAGTAAAGTGTAAAATTAGCGCGCCATTTTGGCAGAATTCGAACTCGAATTCGCCATTGCGGCCATGTCAATTGTATTATTGYGCTTTAGCTGATTTTATTTTCACAGAATTTGGCGCTTTTCAAYGCTTTCTTTGCTGATTACACACCCTTTGTTCCTTGAACGTGTCGTGGCARTCAGGGCCACGGCAGTGACGGTTTTGTTGGTAGAAAAGAAAGTTGGTTGGTGAAAAAAGTTGSTTGATAGGAAAGAAAGTTGGTTCGGTTGGCTTTCTACCTTTTGCGCTTCCGTTCTTTGTGGGCGTATAATTTAATTCGCYCGTACATTTCTTGACACATTTTAAAATCGTGCGATGCGGTGCGTTGCGACGGGCCGTGCGCCGGAAATGGCGGCCATTGCCGCAGCTGTAAAGGACATGGCCAAAGCCGCATTTTATGTTGGCCTTCTTTAGCAAATTTTATTACACAATTGACATTTTTTTCTTTTCACATTTTTTCTTTGCGCCACTTTTCGTGGTTTTCTTTACTTCTGCTTCCACTTTAATGGCATTTTCGTAAATTTTATTGTTGCTGGCATTGAAGTTGGCTGGTAATAAGCGCATACACAGCTTGAATACCAGCAGTTACTTACAGCTTGTTTGTTGTAATTACAAAAATAACTACACACATTTTTTCGGCTTCCAATTTCGCAGCTTCTTATTTTCTTTCTACCTTTTTCCTCTGTTATTTTATTTCTCTGCCTTAACTTACCAGCGCTGGTAATCCGAAGGCATTGCCTTTCTCCACATAAACTGCTGTGGAGTTATCGGCGGGATCGTAGGGACACTTGCCAATGCCTAAACCGATGCCCGGCACGTACTCCGATCTGGGTAAATGTGTTAAGTTCGCCTRCGGGCCAAATAATATGGATAAATATACGTGAGTACATGGAGCGCCATATCGTCGTCAGCAATTTCAACGTTGTTGAGTTTTGGTGGAGGCATTCAACCAGCAGCACAACACATCGGCAAAGAAAAACAAAGTAAACGCATTAGTTGGTTTAAGGAATACAAATAGATGTAAAGGTGGCAAAAAGGTAAACWCCCGTTTGCGTTGTTTTGTTGAATGAATGGTTTTTCATGTTGTTGTTTTTTGTTATATTATTWCTTATTTCCTTGACTGCTTGTGAAAATTAAAGGTTAACGCAACTGACAGTGGCAATTACGCATTGACGAGGGATGCTTTATATGCAAAATAAAAAGGTCCTGGAAAATATACATAATATTGAACCTATTAAAATTTTTTTAAAATTTATAAAAGTTTTTGCTCAAAAGGTTAGTAATTATTACATTTAAAAACTTTGCTTTCGTGCAAAAAAGCAGTCTTGCTATAATTATATGGCYCAACCTATTGAGACCAAACTTAAGAAATATATTTATATCCTGAAAAGGGTATAYTTAATTTGCCACGTAGTTTTAACAGCCAGAAGAAAACATTGGAACCACATCAAATATATGTATATATAAATATTAGCGTTACGTGGGAGTTGCTTTAGAAATATCCGTCGGTCCATTTGTCTGAAACTCGCTTTAGTCCCTTAGCTTTTGAGTTATTGCTCTGCAGTTTTGCACACGAAATTTTCTTTTTAAGAAGCTGCGCATTTGTCGGAATACCTGATATCGGACCACTATAGCATATAGCTGCCCTACGAACTAAACCTTCAAAATGAAGCTCTTTTATGGAAAACTTTTTTACTTTACGTGATTTCTTCATGAMATTTGACACGAATTATTACCCGAAGCARCGCTATAATATCTGAAGAAATTTTCTCGATCGCTCTACTAYATCACTGCCATACAAACTGAGCTATCAAAATGAAGTTCTTGTAAAAAAAAGTTCTTCATTTGTAAAGACTACTATTTTTTCTGACTAAAGCCGATTGAGKTTTATSTATATAAAGTTTATTAAYGTAATATACCCCTGAAGCACCCACCATTGGTATATGCGTTGGCTSGAAAGGATTTCTAGTCATYWCTTTGSCCTCATTAATAGCGGGATTCAGTAATCAGTCTCTAGTCTCTATTTGAGACATTTTGTGGTAAAATCTCAATTTGTGACTAGTTACTATTCACTAAATAGTCTCTAGCTTTAGTCTCAAAATATTGCCTCAAATTTGAGACCTGGTAGTTAGCAAGTCACAAAACCAAAAAGAACTCGTGTCTGCCATTTTGAATATACTGAATAAACATCGGGACCTGTCTCTTATACACATCTAGATGTGTATAAGAGACAGGGTTAAAAATAAATAAATTTTACATAAATTTCGTTAATATTATGAAACAAAGTGAACATATATTTATGTTTTTACTGATAATTATGTTTTTTGACTATGTTATAGAAAATTTAATATTTGTTAATATAAAAACATCTCTGAATAATGAAATGTAATAGAGTTTGTGACTATCACTTACAGAAAAGCAAAATAGTCTCAAGTCTCAAAAATTGTCTCTGTCAAATTTAGAGACTTGATACTGTATCACAGTACAGAATCCCACGGTAAAGCTAACCTTTCACAAGTTGTGGGCTTTTAAAAATCCATTGTTCTATTGGCGTACACGCCAATGTTTCTATGTCTAATCCGATATAGTTTCGAAACCGCTCTGAAGTTCAAATAAAATTTTAAGGAATTCTGCTCAAAATTGCATTTTTGAAATAAAACGACGATGTCATTCGAAGATTATATAACGCATACTCCTGAAAGTCAGKTATTTTGTTACTTAGATTCTGAACAGCTTTTCACATAGAATTGATCGATTGTTTTATCTTAGGTAACAGATAGCAGAATAATAAAAAACAAGTAAGAAAGGGCTAAGTTCAGGTGTCACTGAACATTTTATACTTTCGCATGATAAAGTGATAATCGAGATTTCATTATCCGTCATTTACATATTTTTGTATTTTGCTGTAAAATTAATTCGATTAGGTTAGGTTAGGCACTGAGTTCTTCGTGTTCGATATCAGGGACCTTGAAAAGTTATAGTCCGATCACGACAATTTTTCCAAAAGGGATACCTCAGCTCAAATATCGTATTTGTGTTTTATTTTACAGAGAAGGCATCAGATGGAACTCAAAATAGCGTTATGTTGGAAGAAGGCGTGGTTGTGAAACGATTTCACCACATTTCGTACATGTCATCAGTGTGTTAAGAAAATATTATATACCGAATTTCATAGAAATCGGTCGAGTAGCTCCTGAGATATGGTTTTTGGTCCATAAGTGGGCGACGCAACGCCCATTTTCAATTTTTAAAAAAAGCCTGGGTGCAGCTTCTTTCTGCCATTTCTTCCATAAAATTTAGTATTTCTGCGTGGTTATTATTCGAACTGTATATGGAAATGTCTGAAGGAAAGGAATATTGTGACAAGGTTTCCAAGAGAAATCTACGTACGTTTCTTGCTTCGAAAAAGTATATTTTACTCAAAAAGTTTCTGCATTTTGAAAATTTCCTTGCAAATTTAAAAAAAACTTTAAAATAAAAACTTTCTTTCTAACCAATTTTAGAATTTTTCTCTTGTTTCAGAATAAAAAGAAAATTGAAATGTTTGTAAAAAATTCATATTTCTCCAATCCAAAATCTACAATGAAATTTACATCCATCCACAAATAGCTGAGCGAATCCCTAATCGCTTTTGCTATAAATTAAGCAACTAAAATTGTTACAAATTCACAGATTTTCATTACACACATGTAGGCCGATGTATGTGTGAATTAAGCTAAGGAGCATTAAATAAATTTCCTCAACGCAATTAAATCGAAGACATTTGCCACATAGTGACTTTAATTTAATGCTAAACATTGCCACGGTCCTGACCGCCCAACTAATCTTCGAGCTTTGTTCACACACACSAACACACACACAACATGTGAACTTGAGCACAATCTCGTGAAGTGTGAGTGCGTTGTATGCATGTGTGTGTGTGTTTGTGACCTTGCTTTGCGACGCAACAAACTAATCCAGGTTTATTTGTGCTCATTTATTACACACACCACACACTGCTGCCCGAAATACGGTAAATAGTAGTTGTCCATAGACATGTTTGTACATTTGCGATAAGCAGGAGGGGATTGTTTGATAAGCGGCAAGTATGTATGAGCAGCGGGAGCGGTGTGTGTGTGTGTTAGCATTTTCGGCCGCACCGCATATTAGTTTTCCAACAAAACGGCCAAAAGCGCACATGCCACTGCGGCAACAATGCCAAACAAATGAAATCAATGTGCAAATGTACGCCGCCAATGCCACGTACCGTTTGATATACACCGTGTGTGCGTGTTTGTGTTGACAAATATATTGGGCAGTTGTGGCTACACAAAGTCAACTGCTAG